CCTACAAAATTCTGTCCAAATCTCCACCTACATTTTTTCTGGGCGTGCCACAACGAGTTCTCGGTCGAACCGACCTTCTTAGCATCTTCCAAGTTGCCCAGCTGCACTTGACACCTGGATCCACGGGAGGGGTAGAGGTGGCTCCAGAAATGTCGATGATTTACCCTCTGGTTATGTCAAAATAGCTATTGAAAATGGCCATTTTATAGTGGATTTTCCCATTAAACATGGTGATTTTCCATAGTTATGTTAGTTTACCAGAGGGTAGGATGAGTAACTCGCCGAAATCGATGATATCCAGGTAGAAATTTCATTAAAGGCTGATTTTTTGATGAATCTCATGAATATGGCATCTGATATGTTGTTCATGTTGGCTGACTATTGACTTTAGGCTGATGATATTATGATTGTATGATGATATATGATGATTATATGAGATGGCTCTACATAATTCATGTGTTTTTGACTAATTTGAAAAAATCTGCCATTTTGGGATTGTTACCCAAACCATCATTCCAGTCATGTCGGAGTGAAGCCATCATAAATCATCCATTATGATCATATAACATCATATAACCACCAATATGAGGTACCCTCTGGTAAACTAACATTTTGCTATGGAAAATCACAATTGTTAATGGGAAAACTCACTATAAATGGAATTTTTCAATAGCTATGTAACAAATTACCAGAGGGTAATTGTATAAGCTAGCGTGCATTTCTGTAAACTAATTGTTGTTTTTCCACTTGGACATGTGGAACAACATCAAATATGCACGTAGATGGTGTCCCAGTTGCATTTTGTTTACATCAGGGAAAAAACACATACCCCATATGCTCCATGTATGGTATATTATATGTACCTACATTTGAATGATTTTTAGGGCAAATGTCGGCAAATGTTGGTCAATATTCCATACACGGAGCATATGGGTACATAATCCCCATCAACTATACTTATATCTACCATAAACCATTGAATTCAGCCACTTATAAACCAACTTAGCTATCTTGGGGCCCCATCTTGTACATATTCGTAGCATAATAATACACATTATTAACACCACACATCAGGTCGAGCCCGGAAGTTATTAAAAGACCCACCACGTCAATCAGTGGTCAAATCATATCCCCTATCATCCCAGCTGGAAAATGGGGGAAACCGCCAAGTCACTGGTTACTGTATTGCGAGACAACACTTCTACTCCATATTTCATAGATAAATCCATGTAAAATCATGCAAATCCATAAATTTCCCTCAAAAAAACCTTATGAATCCCTAGAATGCGCTTATAAATCCATAAAATGCCATCAAAAAATCCATGAAACTGTCCCAAAACCCGACTTTTTCTAGGTTTGGCGCCGCCAGCCAAGTCACTGGCCGCGCCGGAAGAGCGCCTTGACCTGGAAAAGGCCATGGATTTTGATGGAAAAAAGTGGATTTGCCATGGAGAATCACCATTTTTAATAGGTAAATCATCAAAAAACATCTATTTCTATGGGCCATTTTCCATGGCTATGTTAGTCATAACCAGAGGGTATATTGGAGATCTAAGAGATTTACATTGTAAATGTATAAGAATTGATGTAGATAGATTTATATGTAGATTTATATCTGGATTTATATAGATTTATTAAACAAATGTGAATTGTATGGTTTTATGTTAAGTTACGTTGATTTTAACGAGCCAAAATGGTGATTGGTGAGAGGATTTATAATGCAGGATGGTTTTTACCGTGGGAAAGCTCAGGTTATTAAGGTCTCTCAATGTCACTATAGGATTCCCAAAAAAAAAGCAGTGTTCAAAAACCTGGTTGGTTGACTATAGTTAGAGGATTTTTGTTCTACCCGACCCTTTATATACTGGGGATTATTTCAGAATCCAAGGGGAATGCCGTTCTGAACCAGGATTTTCCATGGACATTTCGGGATTTATTTCACACTGCTCATAATTCTTTTCTGCTGAAACACCCTTTGCCCTTAAAAAATGCCAAACAACAAACCCCTTTCCCATCTACTACTTGGATCCAATTGGTTGATAGATGTTGAATGGCTCAACTTGGAAAAGAGGAGCTTTCCTAAGTCATAGGGCTACCCCCAAATCATCATCCATTTATAGATGGATTTTCCCGTGGAAATAAACCATCCAGCGATATATTGGGGTATCCCACATGGCACCACATCCCCATGGATTTTCCATGAAATAAACCATCCATTTAAGGTAAACCTCTCTGGTTGGTGGTTTCAACCTACCCCTCTGAAAAATCATGGACTTCGTCAATGGGTTTCGGATGACAACCCATATATGAAATGGAAAATAATCCATTCCATGGTTTGAAACCACCAACCAGTGATTAGTAACCATCATTAACCATCATTAACCATGATTAACCAGTGATTATTAACCATTATTAACAATTATTAACCATTCATGTTTGAAACCATCAACCAGATGGTTTTTACTATGGTTAACTCGCCACTTTCTGATGGGTTTTCCTATGGTTTTCCACTGATCACAGCTCCATAACTATGGTTTTTCCTATGGTTTTCCTATGCCTCAGCGGCATCTCAGCGGCATCGCAGCAGCATCTCGGCCCCCGAACGCAGGCGCCGTCGATGTCCAGAAGCACCTCCGAGCACTTGCGCTCGGCCTCGTGCCACTGCTTCCTGCGACCAAAGGCGACGACGAGTTCACCATTTCGGTCAGTGATTTCACCAAGACTTTTGTGTATTTTGACCATGAAACCAGGGTAATTTATGGATTTTGACCATGAAACCTGGGAAATTTATGGATTTTGACCATTTATTAGTTATAACTGGTTATAAATGGGATTATACATTCTATAAATGGCGTTGTAAATACTTATAACTGGTATTTCGGGCCATAGCTGTGGGGATTTTGACAAATGGGGGGGATCTTGGCCAGCAGGGTTTTTTGTGCAGGGAATCTTTGGGAATCTCGCGGGAAAATGGTGGATATAACGATACCATATAATGTCAACCCTGGATTGATAAACCCTAGGCTGCTTAATTGGGAGGGTACCATTTAAGTATCAGATAATGACTATTGGAGGAGTACTCCCCTAATTAATAAACCATGGTTTATTAATCCGGGGTTGACATTAACCATGAATATGAGCATCCAAAATGCTGGAAAATGCTAGAACATGGTGGAAAAATTGGCATTGAACCATGAATCATGAGGAGTCAGCTCTGTATACATGGCTACTACATGGCTACTACATGGGTACTACATGGGTAATGAGGGTAATGTTTGGTTCTCACATGGAGCTTGAAACCAATTTCATGTCAATTTCAATGGGAACATGACAATGCAAACTAAGATAAAAACATACCTTTAGGGTACCCTATTCTTGAACAAATACAGTAGTGCTTAAAGATGCTTAAAGTATGGAAGTGTTCCAATATTCTCCAGGCTTCCAAAGGTTTT